TAAACTCAAGAGAATTAAGATTATCAATAAGAAAAACATAAATAGGAAATCCCGCTAATGACTAGTGATTAAGCACCATACTTCTCAATAGCTTATAGTTCAAGGAAGAAATCAGAACAGAAATTGCAATATATTTCAAATTAAATTAGAATAAAAACATGGCATGTCAAACTTAGAGGGTAATTAGAGCTGTGCCTAGATGAATGTTTATAACTTTTATTTCATTTATTAAAAGGGGAGAAAAGCTGAAAAATCTATGATCTTAGTATCCAACCCAGGAAGTTAAAAATATAGTGAATTAAACCCAATGAAAGTAGAAGAAAGATAACAGAGATGTGACAATTTAATTTATGGCATCGACACCTTTGGGTCTTAGGGTACTCAGCTATTTGATCAAACACTATTCTCAGTGTTTCTATGATGATGGTGTTGGACAAAGTTAACATTAAACCTATAGACTGAGAAAAGCAAATTGTCCTTCATAATGTGGATGGGTTTCATCAATCGGATGAAGGCCTGAATAAAACAAAAAGGCTGAGCCTCTCCTGAGGAAGAGAGATTCTTCCTGCCTGTCTGCTTTGGAATTGAGACATCAGCTTTTACCTGGCCTTTGGGACTCTAATGGAAACATCGACTCTTCCTGGTACTTGAGCCTGCTGGTCTCTAGACCATAACTACACCATCAATTTTCCTGGTTCTCAGGCCTTCAGATTCAGATTGGAACAACATCATTTCTCCTGGGTCTCCAGCTTGCCAACTTACCCTGCATATCTTGGGACTTGTCAGCCTCCGTAATCATGTGAGCCGATTCCTCATGATAAATCTTTCTATACAGAAATATATCCTTTTGACTTGTTTATCTAAAGAACCCTAATTCAAAAAATAAGAGTAGATATTAAAGTAATGTAAAACAAAGTTAATACTTTAGCAAAAATGAGAGTTGATTTTTTTGATTTGACGTATCTGTGGCAAGTCTGATCAAGAATGAATGAGAAGGCACACAAGATCACAAATAATTTTTGTTCATTCTAGGAATGTAGTTGGTTTAGCATTTTAAGAATGTAGTTGGTTTAGATTTTCAAAATCAATATAATTCACATTTTAACAGAAATTAGGACAGAATATATGACATTAAAAATAGATACATAAGAAACATTTAATAAAATTCAACTTCCCTTCAGCATAAAAATCTCTTGGTATTCTAGAAAAAGAAAGAAACTTCTTGACTCTGAACTTTGTTAATTTACTCAAAGCTAAGAAAATGTCCTCCTTAATGGTGAATAAATAAAATTTTTCTGTAATCAGAAATGAGATAAAGTGCCTATTATGTATCTTTCTATTAAACATTGTACAGCTATTGACAATATAAATTATTAGAGAAAATGAGAAAGAATTGAAACCTTCATATGCAGCTTGTGGAAATTAAAACTGGTTTAACCACTTTGGAGAACTGCTTGGTAACATCAGTTAAAGTTAAACATGTTCATACTCTATGGACCAGCATATACTTGATAGAATGCACCTGTTCACATATATATATATATATATATATATATATATATATATATAAAAGTTTGTTCATTTCATCATTATTACATTTATTGTAAAATGAATACATTAATTGTGGTAGTGTGATAGCTAAAACAATGGAATACTGTTTGAGTAATGCAATTGAATAAACTACAACAAATAAAATAGAAATAGAAGCAAGACAAAAAAAAACATGTAATACATAATTCTTACATAAAATTGAAAAACAGATAACAGTAACCTATAATGTTAAAAATCAGGACATTGTTTAATTTTAGAAAAGAGGGAAGATATTGACCTGGTAAGAGTATGAAATAGGGTTCTGAGAGGCTTGTATTTTTAAAAAAATTTCTTGTCTTTCTGTTTTATTTCTTGACATGGGTAGTTTCATGGGTATATGAATACACAATAAAATATTTTAAAATTAAGCCTCTATTTCTGATCAAAGAAATTTATAAAATGTGAATTAATTTATATCCTTTATTTTCAGAATCCAAGATCTTATTTAATGAGGAAACACTAGATGCACTAAGAAGAAATGATGCTCACCCTCTCCATTATTTTTAACACTATAGGCTATTTTAGCAAAGCAGTTAGACTAATACAAACACTTACAGAAATAAAAATTGAAAAGGAAGAGTAAAATGTCTGTATTTTAGATTATTATGAAAACATGCCTGAAATGACTAAGAAAATCAACTTTAATTATTGTTATTTGTATTCTTGATGGTTACCATTCTAATGAGAGTGAGATGAAATCTCATTGTAGTTTTGATTTTTATTTTCCTGATTGCTAAGGAGGTTCAATATTTTTTTCACTTATTTGTTATATACATTCATGATTATGTCAAAATGAACCCCCATTGTATTATATATAATACATGAATAAAAACAAGAAAAAACAAAATGAACATTAAAATAAATACAAATAACAAAATAATTGAGAAGGATGTATACCCAAATTCAACTATATAAATTATAGTTTTTAGAAAAGATAATGAAAAGAATAGCTCATATAAAATGACAACAAAAACATCAAAATAACTAAGTATCAAGTTAACCAGAAAATAAAAATGTAGAACACTTGCAAACTTCTTGTAAGATATAAAAGTATGTTTGAATAAATAAAAGGCATCCTTTAGTCTTTGATTAAATGTCTCACTTTTTTTAAATTTCTGAAGTTTACTCTTTTTCTTGACTTTTAAATTTTTATTTATATTACTTTTTATTTATATATGACAGCGGAATGCATTACAATTATTATTACACATTTAGAGCACAATTTTTCATATCTCGTATAAAAAATACATATTGACACCAATTTGTGTCCTCATACTTGTACTTTGGATGATAATGATCATCACATTCCACCATCATTAATAACCCCGTGTCCTCCCTTCCCCTCCAACCCCTCTGCCCTATCTAGAATTTGACGTTTTTAAAGTCAAATAAATATTATATCATAAAACAGTTTAAAGTTTTCTTCTTTTCATGTTTATTTATAAAACTACAAATTTCTCTAAGATTCATCTGTCTCACAAGTTTCAATATGATAAATTTTTTGTTTAGTTTTTATTTTATACATTTTATTAATGATTTCTTTTCTCATAAATTAGAGATGTTTTTTGTTTCCAAAATACTTTTCTCAGTGATTTCTCATTTTACTTCATTGTGATTAGAATATAATAATATCTAAAATTTTGATTCTTTGGTACTTAATAATTAATATTTATCAAATACCCATTTTCTTCAGAGTTCTAGGTTCTAATGATATAACAGTGAACAAATCACCTACTTCTTTGTCTACAGTATTTACATTCTGTTGTGAAATACTTTAAAATATGATACATAAATGATTTGTTACTTTGTGTTTCAATGTGGTCAGATATGATTGCAGAGAAGTCTCCTTTTATCTTGATCCCTTATGGTTATTGAGTGACCTTGTCTGATATTTCCTTAATGTCTGGGGCTCTTTCCTCTTCATTAATTCTCTAAGTGATTCTAATACAATATTTCCTGTATCATAATCTTATAGTTATTGTCAGATCAGGCGAGGTGGGCAGAGACCAAAGGAGGCAGATTTAAAAAGGCCGCCTAATAAGAGGCTTTATTGAGATATCACTCCCAGGTGGAACTCGATCAGACCCACAGAGTGGACAAGAGAAGGGTCTGAGGAGAAACTGCGTCGAAGCTCGACCAGACTGGACTTTTACGGGGCTTACAGCAGGAATGGAAGGGCTTGGGACAGGAAAAGGTGTTTTTAGGGTCCCTTGTCCCTGTGGAGTTAGTCAAGGGAGTTGGCTGAACTCCAGGATTGGCCAGGGGGTCCTGCTGATTGACAGGCGTTTCTGCTGGCACCTGATTAATGTTCCTTTCCCACGGGCGGCTTTGTTCTAGTCACCACCAAGTCACCACCACCGACCTAACAGTTATCTCAGTAATTCTTGATATTTTGATGCTCAATGTTTTATATATTTGCTTTCTGGGAGCTATTAGTGCTGTCTTATTACAAAGCAACTTTTGTCTTTCAAATATTTACTTTCAAAACTTAATAATGTTTTAGAATAGGACTATTACAACTTTTTAAAAATTGTTTTTCTAGTTGTAGATGGACACAATATCTTTATTTTATTTATTTTTATATGGTGATGAGGATTGAACCCAGTGCCTCATACATGCAAGACAAGCGCTATAACACTGAGCTACAGCCCCAGACCAAGACTATTACATCGTAAGGCTCTAGTTTGGAAGAATTGGATTAGTCACTTTTTTCACTTAAGTGATATTTTCCAAACTTTTTAAACTATCAAATTTTCTTTACCATAATCTTATACACGCAATAGAAACTAGTTTTGTTATTCATCATTTTCTCTGGTATGTAAAAAGAATTGTTCTGAAGTTCAAATATTAAAGTATAGTATATGTGACTTCATATGAATTTAAGAAATATCTATATAAATGCATATCTAATTTTGATGTTTTTTCTCATTTAACAAATCATTAAATATACCATTTTATCTTTATTTTCTAGACCATTTTTCTTTTCATCCAATTTTTATACTTACTTTTATATTGTGTCACATATATTTATATACTTTCTCATTTCATCTTAGAATGAAGCAGAGTTAATTGATAAATGTTTATATTGAAGTAAAGCTTATTTGCCATGCTATATATTTTTTAGTTTTTAAAATTGGAACATAAATTATACATATTTATGAGGTATCTTGTGATGTTTCAATACATGTGCATATTGTGTAATGTATCTGTCTTCTCAAACATTTATTTGTGGTGAGAATTCTTTTAAAAGTAGGAAACTTATTTTCAAATTCTAGAAAATTAGTATTATATAATTATAAATAAGTTTTGTTATGTGATATGATTTTTTATTGTATTAACATTATTATTTATTTGAGCCAAGTTAAAATTAATGTCACAATTAAGAAAATGATTGTTTTAATGTTTTTCAGCTGCTAATAGGTTATGAAAATGGTACTGTAGTATTCTGGGACTTGAAATCTAAAAGAGCAGAACTGAGAGTTTATTATGATGAGGTAAGTGATTTCTACTGAAATATTTGAAGTCTTGTGACTTTGTGTCATTTCTATTTTTAAACTTTGTACTGTACCAGTATTTTTTCGCTGGGAAATTACCTGGTTTTCACACTTTATTTTGTTATTTGTATAAGTTTCAACTCTGGGTTATCCTTCTGAGTAGCATTCTGCCCTGACTGCCAATTTTTAGGCCCTGTTTTAGAGTATCCTATGTACTTGGGTTCATGTTACCTATGGTGTATTCCCAATTTTGTCTTATTCCTTTTCTTTTCTCTAAACTCCCATGTGTATGTCTTACTTCCTTGTCCTTAAATTCTCTAAATTCTTTAAGTTTTCCTTAGAAAACTCTTTTCTATGTTAAAAATTCAAATCAATTTGAAATGCAATATCTTTCTGTACTTGCCTTCTTAAAATAGAGATTTTATAAATGGTAACGTTAATAAGTGACAATAAGATCTTGAAATAAATTTTATTTAACATAATTGAGGATTCGGGAAGCAATAAGCCCCTATTTATCAAGGAAGAGTATCCCAGTTGACACTTTTGGTTTAGAGATTGATTCCAGGTCATTAATTATTTCCTCCTTCAGAAGATACTAATAAAGACAAATTGTATTAAAAGGTGAAAAGGTAATTGCTTCTTATAGCTATGGAAGTAAATATGATCATCTATACTATTAAACTTTTAAAATGGGGGAAGGCAATAGGAGAAGATGGTAGAATAGAAGCAGGCTGCAAGTTCCAGCTCTTCCGCAGTTCAGAACCACAATAGCTGGAGAGATATGCAGCAAGTTGGGTGACTGAGGGAAAAGACTGAGATCTAGTAATAGATTGACAGACACTTGGAGAGACTCAGATTCTGGTTACTGGAATAGACAGTGAAAAAGAGTTCATCGGTTTTGAAGCTGCCAAAGAGGCAAAGTTGGGAAAATTGCTTCAGAAGCAGTGGTAGAAGAGAAAATCAGAATTTAGCTGATACAGAAACTACATACCAACATGTGAAAAGGGCTCTACTTCTCTTTAACTAGTGAGTAGAGAACTGTGGCCAAAAGCCAGAAGGTCAAACCTAAGTTTAGAGTTTTGGGAAAGACAAATTCTTGCATCTTCATCTCCTCCCGAGATAGTGGCAAATATTGTTATGGAAGAATGCCTTTGAGGCAAGCTAAATGATATACACAGTGAGATCACTGCAACAAAAGACCACCACATCTACCACCAATCAGAGTAAGACTGGGTGCAGTCTGTTACCTGGGTGCAAGGCACTTTTCCCCACACCAAAATCTTCCTGAGTGTATACATACACACTCATTGCTCATGTCTGTACTGGGGAGGGTTCTATCTGCTGAGCCAAGAATGTTATAGCACCGTCACCTTGGCTCAAGTAGGAGCTTCTGGAGCCATGGTAGTGTTCCCAGCACCACTTAAACTGTGCTGGAAAAGGGCAAGTAGAAGACTGTTAATAGCTTAGGCACATGGCTCTGCTTCATGTGAACAGAAAAAGCAGTTCCTCAGTGCAGAGACAAATCTGGGAACTTGGCCTGCAGACATTCCAGGGATGTCCTCTCTGTGCCCCCAGGGAACACACTGATGCCTGGACTGACATGGTACTAAAAATGTTGTATATGTGTTCATCAGAGCTGGGCAGGGTGAAGATGGTGAAGATAGGATTTGGATCCTGGATTTCATGCAGTTTTTTGAAGGAGGATGCCAATCTGGATGTGGGAAAACGTAAACATACATTGCTGCACCACAACTCAGTGCTGATTTAAGCTACTGAGGCTTAAACATTTCTCACACCTCCCATACCTGGTGTATTCCAAATCATGAAGTCTCTAAAAGAAGTTTCTCTATCTTTAAAACCTTAACAAGGAGGGCTTTTATTATTTTTAAAGTTAGTTGGTTTTGCTGGTATTGTCTACTATTTTGGTTTCATTATATTCCCCTCATTATTTTTATTATATATTTCTATATAATCTTCTTTCTTGTCTTTTAAAATTAACTGGATTCATTTTCTCTACCTTTTTTCTTCTTTATCATTTTTATTCCTCTCATTTTGTCTAACTTCATTTTCTCAGTTTTTCTTTTCTTCCCTCTCTTTTTCTTTCCCTTTTCTTTTTATTATCTATATGGTTTTATAGTAGTCTTACATTCCACATTGCCTATTTTTTTTCTGTATACTATTACTATCCTTTTCTTCTCTTTGACAAGTGTAGATGTAGAGAATATTTTCCTTCAAGTTGTCATTGATACTGGTAACTAGTCTCTGTCTTCCTAAAGTGATACTGGAGGTTAAACATGGCATTTTGAACATATTGTGTGGGTACTTTAAAGGACACTGAGATATAAAATCAGTCTGGGCACATTTTAAAGAAAAAGCAGCTCACTAAAAAGACCTCTCATAACAGTGTAAGAGACATCCACCCAACAAATGCAGGAATTCCAACATAGACACATTTGAAACAAGAAAATAAGGTAGTAAGACACATCTGAAAATTCATAACTCCTTAACAACTAAATTCATAGATATCAAACTAGAGAAAATAATTGACAAAGAATACAAAAAGTTGTGATCAAAATGACCAATGAATTAAAAGAAATACTAACGAATGAACCAAGGAATATAATACTGTGTGTGAACATGCATTTTTAATAAAGAGATAAAGATTCTGAAAATAATCAAACAGAAATATTGAAAATGAAAAACTCAATAAGCCTAATTAATTCAGTGGAAAGTCTCACCAATAGACTAGAGCAAGCAGAAGAAAAAATATTTTTCTCAAATGACTCAAAAATTAAATGGATAAACTATAATACTTAGGTAGTAACGAAGAAAAAATTATGAATAGAACATACACAAGCTCTGAGACAATAATAAGAAACTAAATTTAAGTTTCATAGGCCTTGGAGGAAGAAGTGGGCATGTAGGGTAATTATGTAGAAAGCTTCTTTAGTGAAGTAATGGCAGAAAGCCTCCCTAAGCTTAGAAATTATATGGACATATAGGTACTGGAGACATTTAGAACTCCAAATAGACATGACCAGAAAAGAACTTCTTCATAACATATTGTAGTTAAATTACCAAAAAACTTAAAACAAAGAAAGGATTTTAAAAACTATTAGAGAGAAATGCTAAGTCGTTTATAAATGCAAACCCATCAGAATAATATTAGATTTCTTAGAAGAAGTGCTTAAGATCAGGAGAGCATGCAACATGTCAAGCTCTGATAAAAATAACTGCCGATATGGATTGCTATGCACAGCAAAAGTATCCTTCAGAATTGAAGAAGGAATGAAAATGCCCCAAGATAAACAAACTAAAGGAGTTCATGATCATTAAGTCAGGGTTTCAGAAGATACAGGAATCCATATACTGAAAAGGATAAAAATAACCAAGAGAAGCATGAGAGAGAATAAATCTCATTAGACGAATACATAGGCAAATGAGAATTAGAATTAAGACACACATTATAAATTTTAACAAATGACAGTAAGTAGTACACACTTTCCTATAATAACACTGCCAATTAAAAGACAGAGATTAGCATATAGTTTTTAAAAAAGAAGACTCAACTACATGCTCCCTGAAAGAAATAGTGCCAATCAGCATAGACATTCACAGACTGAAAGTAAAAGAATGAAAAGACAATATTCCATGCATATGGAATAATAAAACAAGCAGGAATAGATACCCTCATATCCAACAACCATAGTTCAAGCCAAATTTAGTCAGAAATGACAAAGAACACTGGATATGGTGATGTACATTTATTTGGTACTAGATACTTGGGAGACTAAAATAGGAAGATTATAAGTTTGTGATCAGCATGAGAAACTTAATGAGAATCTCTCAAAATAAAATACTGTGAGTTCAGCACAGTGATAGAACACTTGCGTAGAATGTGAAAGGTCCTGAGTTCAATCCTCAGTATCACACACCTAAAAAAAATTAGACAAAGATTTTCATTATATATTGATAAGGGAACTAACCAACAAGAAGATGTAATGATTATAAAAATATATGCCCTAAACATTGGTACACCGAACTTCATAAAGCAAGTACTTCTTGACATAAAGAGACTGATAGGCAATAATAGTGGGTGACTTTAATAAACCACTCTCACTGATAGATCATTCAGACAAAAAAATCAAAAAAATACTACAAAGTTAAATATATTTTAGGTCAAGTGCATTTAAGACATCTACAGAATATTTTATTCAATAACAACTGAATATACTTTCTTTTCAGCTGCTCATGCAACTTCCTGCAAAGTAGATCATATGTTAAACCACAAAATCAAGTCTTTCTAAATAAAAAAAAAGTTAAAATGATTTTTATATTTTATTAAGTAAAAATTCTTATAATCAAATGAGAATAGAAACCCAGCATCTCAGAATCTCTGGGATATATTAAAATAGTTTTAAAATGGCAGTTTATAAGGGCCTACATAAAAAATAAGATCTTAAACAAATAACCCAATTATACTTCTCAAGGTCTTAGAAGAACATGTACAAACAAATCCCAAGAGCAGTAGAAGAGAGCACATGTTAAAGATCAGAGCTGAAATGAATGAAATAGAAAATAACGGAACAAAATAAAGTATCAGTGGCTCTAAGAGTTGTTTGTTGGAAAGATAAACAAGATTGACCAGCCATTAGCCAAACAAACCAAAAGAGAGAAGACCCAAACTAATAAAATAAGAGATGTAAAGGGGAATATTACAAGAGACACCACAGAAATCCAGATGATCATTAATTACTATTTTGAAAATTTATATTCCAACAAATTAGAAAATCTAGAAGAGTTGGATAAATTTCTAGGGTAAATTTCATATTACCTACCAAAACAGAAACAATATGAAATAGAAAAGTTAAATAACAATGAGCAATAATGAGCAATGAGGTTAAGTCAGTAGTAAAAACCCACCCAACAAAGAAAAGCCCAGACCAGATGGATTTAAGTAGAATTTTGCCAGAACTTTAAAGAACAACTAACACCAATGC